ATAACAGAAGGATAACAGGAAAATCTCTACACACTTGTAACAAAACAACCTACTTCTAAGTAATCCATGGATCAAAGAGGAAGTCTTAAGGGAAGTAAAAAGATACACTGAACTGAATGAAAATGAAAATACAACATATCAAAATTTGTGAGACACAGCTAAATCAATGCTGAGAGAAATTTATAGCGCTAACTACATGCATTAAAAAAGAGGAAAAGTCTTAGGTCAGTAATCTGAACTCCCACCTCAGGAATCTAGAAGCAAGGGCAAAACAAATCCAAAGCAAGCAGAAGGAAGAAAACATAAGATAAGATAACATTAACAAAGATAAGAGCAAAATCAATGAAATTTGAAACAGAAAAGCAAAGAGAAAACTGATGAAACCAAGAGCTAGTTCTTTGAAAGAATCAATAAAATGAACAAACCTGTAGTGAAGAAAAAAGAAAAGCCGCAGATTACCAACATCAGGAATGAAACAGGGGCTGTCACCTCAGACACTGCAGACATCGGAGGGATGAAAAGGGAACACTACAAACAACTCCACACACATAAACCTGAAAACTTGGATGGAATGTACTAATTCCTCAAAAAATACAAATGACCAAAACTCACCCAATATGAAACAAATAATTTGAATATCCCCATAACTACAGAACAACTGAGTTCCAAATTTTAAAATTCTCAAAAAAGAAATCTCCAGGCTCAGATGATTTTACTGAAGAATTCTACCAAATGTTTAAGAAAGAATTAATATCAATAACACATAATCTTTTCCAGAAGACAGAACAGGAGGGAACACTTTCCAACTCATTTTATGAGGTCAGTATTACTCTGATACTAAAACCAGACAAAGACAATCCAAAAAACAAACAGAAAGCTGTAAACCAATGTCCCTCATGAACACAGACACAAAAGTCTTTAATGAAATGGTAAACAGAATTCAATAATGTATAATTAGAATTATACACCCTGACTAAGTGACGTATATTCCATAGATGCAAAACTACTACAATATTTTAAAATGTCAATATAGTCCATTATATTAATAAGCTAAAGGAAAAAATCATATGATTATATCAACTGATGCAGTGAAAGCATTTGATAAAATTCAACAGTCATTCATGACAGAAACTCTCAGAAAAATCGGTATAGGTGGAAAACTTCCTCAACCTGACGTAACTAACATTATCCTTAATGATGAAAAATTGAATGCTTTCCCACTAAGACTTGGATAAAGGACAAGGATATTCTCTCTAACCACACTTATTTAACATAGTTCTGGAGGTTCTAGCCAGTGCAATAAGGCGATAAAAGGAAATAAATACAAACAGAATGGAAAGGAAGAAATAAAACTTCCTTTTTGTAGACGACATGATTGTCTACAGAGAAAAGCCCAAGGAACCTACTGAAAAAACTCCTTTGGTAAGGTCTCAGGATATAAGATAAATATACAAAAATAAGCTATATTTCTATATAGTAGGAATGAACACATGGGCACCAAAATTAAAAATACAATACCATTTGTAATTGCTCAAAAAAGGAAATATTTATGTATAAACCTAACAAAACATGTATAGGATTTATATGCTGAAAACTATACAATGTCGATAAAAGAAATAAATATTCAAATATATGGAGAGACATAGTACATTAATGGATTGTAAGACTTAACATATTAACATGTCAAATTTTCCCAAATTGATGAGACAGGTTTAATGCAACTCCTATCAAAACTAAAGCAATATTTTTACAAATGTAATTAAGATTATTCTAAAATTTACATGGAAAGGCAAAGGAATTAGAGTAGATGAAATAATTTTATAAAGAAAAATAAAGTAGGAATAATCAGTCTAACCAATTTTAAGTATCCAATTTACTATATAGCTACAATAATCAAGGCTGGCAGAGGGACAGACACATAAGTCTGTGGAACAGAAACAGATCCACATGAATACACCCAACTGGTTTTTGACACGATTCAACAGAGGAAAGATAACCTTTTCCACAAATGGTGCTAGAGCAATTGGACAACCATAGCAAAAAGTTGATCTCAATCTAAGTTAAACCTTATATAGAAATTACCTTGAAATGTATCATGAACTTAAATGTAAAACTTCAAACTATAAAACTTTTAGAAAAAAGCATGACAGAAAATCTTTGGGATCTAAGCTGGGCAAAGAGTTCTTAGACCTGACAACAAAAGTATGATCCATAAAAGGTCACACTGATAAACTGGACTTCACCCAAATGAAAAACTTTTGTTCTTTGAAAGACCCTAGAAGGAAGGTGGAAACACAGGCTATAGACTGGCAGAAACTATTTGCAAACCAGGTATCCAACAAAGGACTAATAGCTAGGATATATAGAGAACACTCAAAACTCAATTAAAAAGCAAACAATCCAATTAGAACACAGGCAAAAGACATGAATAGACATGTCACTGAAGAAGACTTAACGATGGCAAATAAGCGCATGAAGAGATATTCAACATCCCACATCATTAGGGAAATGCAAATCACAAGGGCAACGATATGCTACTACACATCCAGGAGAATGGCTAAAATTAAAAATGGCCACACCACCAAATGCCAGTGAGGATGTGGAGAAACTGAATCACTCACACATTGCTGGCAGGAATGTAAAATGGTCCAGCCACTCTGGAAAACAGTTTGGCAGTTTCTTAAAAAATGACATATGCAACTACCATACAACCCAGCAATTGCACTTCTGGGCATTAATCCCAGCTAAATGAAGACTTATATTCACGCAAAAATCTGTACATGAATGTTTATAGCATCTTTACTTCTGATAGTAAAAAAGTAGAAACAATCCAGATGTTCTTCAACAGGTAAACGGTTAAGCTCTGGTGCATTCATACCATGGAACACTACTCAGTAATAGAAAGGTACGAACTACTAATACATGAACCTGGATGAATTTCCAGAGAATTTGCTGAGTGAAAAAGCCAATCGAAAAAGCTGCACACTGTATGATTCCTTTTATTCCTCCTCCTCAAAAGCAGAGATAACATTTTTTACCTCCCATTTGTGAAATGACAAAATTATAGAAACGGAGAATAGAGTAATGGTAGTCAGGGGGCTAAGGAGTGGGTGAGGATGGAAAGTGGATGTGAGAGATCCTTGTGGTCATGGAAATGTTCTGTATCCAGACTGTGTTTATCAATGTCAATATCATGGTTGTGATATTGCAATATAGTTTTCCAAGATATTACTATTGGAAACTGGGTGAAGAGTACATGGAATCTTTGTTTTGTTTCTTATAATTACATGTGAATCTACAATTACTTCAAAATAAAAAGTTTAATTAGCAAAAGCACTAGTTTAAAAATCTCATGATATAAAAAGATACAGGTAATTACTTTGAATTATAAAAAGCAGGTATAAAGATCTCAATGTCAAAAAAACTGAAATTAATTTCAGGTTCCATTATTAAGTCAAATTTTAGTTATGAATTGAGGAACTGAAGAGAAATAAATGGGGTTTTATTGATAGAACCCAATTCAATTTGCAGGAGGGAAAAAAATTAAGCTATTGACAAATCTATATATCTGAAAAAAGACCTCAGCTCTTACAAATTTTAATTTTAAAATGTTTCCAAAAGAAATGCATTCTTTTACATTAGTCTTTAAAATGTTATTTGCAATGCTCAGAGAAAATACAGCATTTTTAATCAAATTACTTCCCTCACAGGATAACTTATCTGAGAAGGGTGGGTCACAGTTGCAATTAAGGGGCGATAGGTAGAGATGGAGAAGTTAAAGGCACTTGTGGTAGAAGAAATGAGGCTGGAAGAAATCCTGGGACAGCATGGCCAAAGAGGCAGTACACAGGAATTAACACCAGGTCTGCAATATCAACTTCCTCATCCTGCATACAAATCCTAGTTCTATCTCTTTATTGAACTTTAAGTAAATCACAGTATCTCTGGACTAAAACATCCTTCCCCTCAAAAACAGAGATAACATTTTTTACCTCCCATCAAACAGGATATTTGCAAGGATAAATATCTGTACAGCATGAAAATGTTTGAAAGAAAGTTCCCAAGAAACAGAATCTGCAAGTGTGATTCATTTAAAACATTTAATTTGAGTCTACATTATATAAGGAAACATGCATAATGGACGATCGTAATTTGAAGGAGACTGAAGAAAGAGAAAGACAAAATGAGTGAGAGTTAAACAAAGTCAACATCCCAGTTTATTTTCTCAGTTGTCTTGAGATTACTGGTAGAAAATTCAGTATTGCTAAAAACATACAGTACCCCAATCTGCTAGCAAAACCATCTTAATAGGATGGATTTTCCACAGCAGACTTTAAGAGGTTGAAAACCACTAAACAAACAACCAAAATCTCACAAGACTGCAAACCCACTAGGCATCTGGGGAGTGGTCTTCATCGTGAGACTGAAAAATGTCAACAGCATGGAAATAAGCAGTAATGCTCTCTTAAATTTCATTTACCTGAATTGCAGCACTAATTTAATTTTGTCTGGTATTATAGTTACTCATTCAAGTCTGTCTGCCTCCACTTAAGCCTAAGCTCTTTGATTGCAAAAATCATGATTAACACTCATCTTTGTATGTCCCATAACACATAGCTCTGCATGTAGCTGGTACTCTACAATGTGGAACTGAGCAAATGTGCACAAGGACAATTTATTACTCCCAGCTTAAAGAAATATACATAAGGTGTTCCAAAATAGAGGTTGATGTCCTGGTATTCATTAGCCTCAGCTCTGCAACTTACTGAACAATGTTTTTATCAGTTTCTCAATTTACAGTTTCTCAGTTATGTGAATGGAGATTTTTAATGATAATCTGAAAAACAGCTTTCAAAGATAAGTCCTGAGCCCAGAAAGACACCAGAAAAGACAGCGAGAAACTTTTGGCTATGATTTATACTAGGCACACCACGCTGCTTCTTGTCAATAATCAGCTATTAGATTTTTTTTTAAGTTTAAATTTTCTAATCTTTACTCACCAGTGTCTAGTCTTGACTTGACATGCTGATACCGTGGGTTCTGTGGTATCCTTTTGGTCAGATACTAAAAAAATAAGAAAATTCACAAATAATTGGTTTAATTTAAGGATAAGGGTGGCAAAGTTGGGAGAGAGACAAGATATTTTAAAAATTCAAACAAATGCTAAAATGTCATCGAATTTAAAGATGGAAGGAGCTCTAGAAGGCCCAACCATCTCTGCAAATAGAACTTCTCACAGTATTTCCACAGGTGAAGATGGTTATCATGTTTCTGTCAAAACATTTCCAAATTTTGTCAAAATAATCTCATAGCAGTATGTAATTAGGAAAAAAACTCTTAAAAATTATTTCTGACATTGAACCAAAATTGACCTCTAATCTCCATCCAGTCTATTGGTACAACCCAGAAAAAGCCATATAACTCAGCCTCAAGCAATCCATTCAGAAACTAAAGGCAGCTCTCTTGTCCTTTTTACTTTTACTCTTTGTAGGATGGTTTTTTGGCCATCTTCTCTGGATACCCTCCAAATTTACCCCCCCCCCCAAAAAAGTGGCACGCAGTCCTGAGCACAATTTCCAGGTGTTACCACCAGGGCAGGACCCGGTTTTGCAGGCCTTTCTGCTCCTTGCTCCTCAGATGTCACCATGATGGCATCTGCTCTCGGAGCAGCTGGGGCAGTTGTGGGCTCAGGGAAGGTTTATAGTCTGCAAAAATGCTGTCAGGTCTCCCCTGTCCTCTACTCTGATAGTAAACTCTGAATCCAAGCACAAAGCATTTACCCATATTCTGTTTCAGTGTCATTTCTGAAAGCTACTAAGTGAGGGAAGACTAATGAATAAAGACATTACAAAATATAGCTTTCTTGCTCAGGCTTTTTTTCTGGCCTACCAGTATGATCATATGTTCAGTAACAGGTAGCTGTGAAATACAAAATCAAAGCTGGGCAATACCTTTCCAGCTTCATCTTATGCCACTGTCCCACAAGTTCCCAAGGTGAAGTTGCCTGAATGTTCCCCAATGTGTCACACTCACTCAGGTCTCCAGTCTTAGTAAATGTCTGCCTAGAATGCCTTTCCTCAACGTGTCCATGGGCAAAACTTTACTTCCTCTATAAAGCTGTCCAAGATGGAACTAGGTACTTTCTCTCTGGCTCCCAGAGTACTGACCCCTGTACTGTTGTTTCCACCTTGACTTTCTTCCCTAGCCTAGGATTTCCTTGAAGCCAGGGACAATAATTTACTCAAATTTGTATTTACCCAGGACCCAGCATATGGTGGGTGCATTTATTGATATTCAATCAATATATGAATATCTAGAATGAGGATTATATTACAGCAACTACCTGGTTCCTTAAAAGAGAATAAACTTTAAAACCTGTATAACTTGCCCTTGAAAACATAGTTAACTACATACAGCAGGTCCTGTTAGGATTGAAAAGTAAACAATTTACATATAAAATACCTTTTCAAATGACCCACAAAGCATAAAAACAATATAAGATACACTTTAATGCCTTACAGAATATCTGTTGGTCAGAGTTTTGGAGACCAAAGACCAGGAAGAATTTTTTAAAACTGGGGGTACCTACAGAGAGTTATCTGTAGTTATCTTAACTTTGACAAGGACATAAAAAAACGAAAACAAAGCAAAACCTCAAACTACCATCTGCTATTTTAACAATTAAAAAGTAAGAAAGAAAAAAAAACCCAGGATAAAAAGTTCAACCCTTTAGTGTTGTTTTTAAAAATCACTGATATTGTCTGTGTTTTTCCTTTCAGCCCAGGCAAGTAAAACCTTTGTCATGGACACTTAGCATTGGTCCTCAGAAGTGGAACCCTTGAACTATTTTATCCTGAGAGAAAGGCTGGAAAGCCCCTTTCTCCGTCTGATCTAGTAACCTGCTGTCGGTAAGAGAAAGTGACTCTAATGCCAATTTCAACTCCTTCCTAGAGGAAGACAGAGAAGAGTCTTAAGTGAGAGAAGGAAAATATTCAAAGACTGAAAAGGGAGACTGTAGGATGAGTTCCTCAGAGGGACACAATACTGTGGCAAAACAAAACAAAACAAAAAACAAAAAAGCAAACAAACAGAAAAAAAGAAAAAAAATGTGCCTGGTAAATTAAGTCAAGAAAAGCTAACACTGAGGGGAGGATATAGCTCAGGGGTAGAGCACATGCTTAGCATGCACAAGGTCCTGGGTTCAATCCCCAGTACCGCCATTAAAATAAATAAGTAAATAAATAAACCCAATTACTTCCCCCCTAAAACAAAACAAAAAGAAAAGCTAATACTAGAATTCAGTTATCTTAGGCTAAGGGGTTTTCTTTTTTTCTCTTTCTTTCTCTGTATTTTAAAAATTTCTATAAGCTGTTTCCTGTTTTTACTTTTGTTTTGTTTTTCCCACTAGTTTCCTAGCAAAGCTTCTTTTGAAATATTCCAGGCTAGTCTCTGCTGAACCAAGGGGATTTGTCCATACCTCAGCCAACATAGCTAAGAAGTGAGGGTGTCTCTGGGGACCAGGTGTGGTGGCAGCAGAATGATGGGGGGAGAGTGTGGACAGCTGCAGTCGCTGAGTCCTTCCCGCCCCCGGTTTTCCCTTACAGAGACTAATGAGAAATCCATATGCTGTAGCAGAAAAATGTAGTGTTTCTTTCCCATTTTCCCATTTTGGTCCAACTTCTTGTTCCTGACCTTTCTGGTACCAACCACAGCGAAAAACTATTCGTGTTCCACTCTACGCAGAGTACCATAGAGTTTATGGAACTGCCAGACTGCTTTCCTTAAAATTCCTGCTTTGGGGGTGACTGTTTCTTGACCTACTGACCAACTAGCTTTTTTTTTTCAATTACATAAACAGGATGGAATGGTGGAAAGTGAAAGAGCTGAGAAAAGCAGCTGTTTCAAGGAGGACTATTCATCCATTCAACAAAGCCTCATTGAACACCAACCATTCACTCAGTCAGCATTGACTGGGTGCCTACTAGGAGTGAGCACTGTGCTGAGGACACAGAGGTAACAAAACACAATCCTTGCCGTCCAGTTCTCGCTGACGCTGGGAAGAAAGATAAGTGAACAGATGCTACACTGCACGATGAACAAGTAGAGGGAAGCAGGGGCTGCAACAGGAGCATGTAAGACTGGTACCTAATCCAGACTAAAAGAGTCAACAACTACTTCCAGAGGGGTGACTTCTGAGCTGAAGGCTCTGAGGGCTAAGAAAGTTAGTCAAGCTAAAGGAGTAGTGGGTGGGAGCCCCCGGGTTCCTAGTAAGTGATGAACCTGGAGGACAGGGGGCAATATGGACTCAGATGAGGCTGGAGAGGCAGATCATAAAGAAACCTAGATTTTATGCTGTAGATCACTGGTTCTCAAACAGGGGCAGTTTTGCTGCCTTGACTCCTGGGGACAGTTGTCAATGTTTGGAGACATTTTAGGTTGTCATAACTAGGTGGTGGGTGTGCTATCAACATCTAGTAAGTAGAGGATAGGGATGCTGCTAAACATCCTACAGTGACAGGAAGGCACCCCCACAAAACAGAATTAGCCTGCCCCACACGTCAACAGTGCTGAAGCTGAGGAGCCTGGTGTAGATGATGGGCATCACTGAAGACGGTTTAGGGAGAAGAAGGTTTAGGGATTCTATTTCCATTTTAGAAAGATCACTCTGGCAGCCCTCTGGAGTTACAGCTCAGGTAAGAGGTTGTGCTATGAGGATCTTTGGTCCTAAGGAAGTGGCAGTAGAGATGAGGAGAAAGAGACAGTTTCAAGAAATCTTCAAGATGTAAAATCTTTAAAACTGACTAATGTAACAGGGGAAGGACAGGGTTACCATTTCCCCCAGAAGGGACTTACGGAGGAAGCATATATTGAAAAACATGATATGTTCTGTTTGGGGCATTTTGAATATGAAATATCTGTGGGTTATCCACTGTGGGAAGTGGTAAGCTGGCTATCTGGGGGGGTCTGGAGAACAAGAGAGCGACCTGGACTAGAAAAAATCAAGATTTCAGGGTTGTCAACATGTAGGCAGCAGGGGAAGTCATAGGAATGGACAAAATCACCATTGGACAATGTGTAAACTGTGAAGAAAATCCCCAACATTTAAGCTCAGGTGAAGAAAATCACTGTGGGTGAGACTCACAAGCGGCCAGAAGAAAGGGAGTCATGAGAATTAAAGAAGAGTTTCAGGAATAAGGGAATGGTCAACAGTGATCGATGCTGTCAAGTCAGGGAACAAGAGGTCAAATATGAACAAGGGAACAGGAATGCAGGTCAACAGAAAAGTAAATCTGGACTGAACAAAACAGGACACTGTTGACGACCTTGGTAAATGTGGTTACAGTAAATTGACAGAAGCAGAAGCAAAAACAGCAGGTTGAGTGCGTGAAAGAGGAGGACAGTAGCCAGATGGTCTTTTCCCTCCACTTTACAGTTGCTAAGGAATCGTTTCTCTTGTTGTTTTGAAGAAAGAAGAGGTTTGAGGATGTTTATAAGCTAATGGGCTGGAAAAAGAGGTTGAAAATGAGGCAGGCAGGTATGAAAACAAGGAGGTGGGAGAGGATAAGGCCCAGAGCCCAGGGAGAAGTTGCAGCTTGGGAATATATACTTAAGATAATGTAATATGATAGGTGGTCATGATGAAGTTCACCTGGAGGAAGGAGAAAGTTGAGAAAGTTGATGTTTGTGGTATTATTACAGGCTCTTTGAAAGCTACTAAAAATGTCAGAGACCCTTTGAGGGCTTACATCCCTAGGGAAGGTCAAAAGATAAAGCCTTCCCTGTCTACTCACCCCATCCATGCTACTTAACCTCTACTTGGCTTTCAAGACCCAGCACAAACACAAGTTCCAGGCAGGCACCTCCTCTGGAGGCCCCAGTTAGATGGAATCTCTTCCCTGCCTGGACTGTCATAGCACTTTGTACCATTCACACTCTCATTGCCTGCTCTTTGGAATGAGGCTCTACCTGGTAGATCTCTGTAGCTGCCACAAGGCCTTGCACTAGTGTGAGAGCAGTAAGTACCAACAAATGGATGAAGAGAGTTCTGAGACCTGCGCAACACGCAGTGGGTGGGCTAGTGCTGAGTGGGCAGCACAGACATCAAGGGCTCTAGGAACTTGAAACAAAGAGACAGCTCTCACACTGGAGGTAATGTGAGAGTCTGAATGGAAGAAATGGCACTGGAGCTGTTTAAGGGATGAACTTCTGTGGGTAAAAAGATGGGGAAAGGGGACGGAAAAATTATTCCAAGTGGAGGAAATTATAATAGCAAAGCCACTTTAAAAGCATGTTTAAAGAACAGCAAATTGTTCGTTTGCTGGAGAAGGTCCAACAGCAACAATAATAAGGGTAATTGCTACTAACATTTATTGAGCACTTAACTATGTTGCCAGGCACTCAGCTAGGCATTTTCCCTCCATTATCTCATTCAATCCTCACTACCACCAGTAACATAGATACTAGTATTATCCTCACCCTACATGTTAAGAAATGAGGTGGAGTTACTTCCTGAGGTTAGCTGGTAAGAATGGTAGAAACTGGAATTAAACTGGGCAGTCTGGATGTAGAACTTGAACTCTTTTTTTTTTAATAGAAGTATAGTCAATTTACAATGTTGTGTCGGTTTTTGGTGTCACAGCATGGTGATTCAGTTATACATATATATATTCCTTTTCATATTCTTTTTCATTATGGGCTATTACAAGGTATTGAATATAGTTCTCAGTGCTATACAATGGGACCTTGTTGTTTACCTATTTTATACAGTGCAAACCCTAAACTCCCAATTTATCCCTCGCCGCTCCCCTTTCCCCCATGGTAACCATCGGTTTGTTTTCTATGAGTCTGTGAGTCTGTTTCTGTTCTGTAAATATAGAGCTTGAACTCTTATTAAACACTCTACTATACAGCCTCATTCAGCCAGGGGTTCTGAATATAAGGTCTACTAGATGGGCTGCAGGAAGTCTGTGAGCCCCATGAAACTGTATATAGAATTTTGAGTGCATGCACATTTTTCTGAGGAAAGGGTCCTTGACTTTCATCAAATTTTCAAAGGGCTTTGTAATCTACAAAGAGTTAACTACCATGGGTATATGGAATCCTGTGCTGTAAGGTTGGACACGGACAAGTAGACTCCAAATGGAGAACCCTGAATTTAGACTGAGGGTCTGGACTAGGCCCTGAAGACAATGGAAGATACTAGAAATACTGAGCTGTGAGCCACATAATCAAGAGTATTTTGGCAGATTACTAACATATGCAAAGTAAGATTGAGCTTTGTGAATACGTTAATGTTGGAGAAGAGAGAAGAATGAGAAATCATCAATGGGAATTTTCTGAAGGAAAATCAATAAAAAATGAGGAAGATTGTCTGAATCCCAAATCATTCAAAAATGAATGCACTGTTCTGACTTCCCATCTCTTTCAAAATGGAACTCACAAGGTTGTTCACATTAAAGTTGCAACGTATGTAATAGGATTTACATTGAAAAGATTTCTAAAAAACCATTAATATATTTGTTCAGAATTTCTCTACATATGTCTTTTGTATAAAGAGGAAGTCCACAAAATGAAAGGACTAGGTGTCAGTTTTAAAGGGGAACTTTTTTTTAAAATGTAAGTTTTAATCTGGTCCAACTCTACAGATCTCAGACACCAACCTTGAACCATGTTTGCCCATGCAGCAGCCCCTACTCTGCCAGCAGTTGCCACGTGTGGCCCATTGTATTTTTCAAGAAGGCCACAATGAAATTTCCCAACCCACTTACACTGTGATGTTGACCCTCCTTCCAATGAGAGGTGGGGCCTATGTTCCCTCCCCTTGAATCTGGATGAACCTGGGACTGAGATGGAAGTGATGTCCTATGACTTCTGAGGCTAGGTCATAAAAGGCAATAGGGCTTCCACCTGGTTCTCTTGGGAAACTTGTTCCTGGAACCCAGCTGCCATGCTGTAAGGAAGGTGAAGTCACATAGAAAAGGCCATTTGTAGGTGGTATAGCTGACAATACTAGCTGAGGTCCCAGCCAGCAGATTGCATCAACAGCCTGACATGTCAATGAAGAAGCCATCAAGATAACTCTAGCCCCAGCTTCCATCTGCCTGCAAAATCACATGAGAGAATCCAAGTAAGAATTGCCTAGTTAAGCCCAGTCAACCTCCAGAGCCACAAGATGATAATTAAATGACTGTTGTTGTTTTGAGCCACTAAATATGGGGGAGATTCATTACAAACCAATATATAATTGGAATGCCAAATTTACTTTCTAGTAAGCTTTGAAAAAAAAAAAGCTACATTGGGTATCTGCATCTTACTCCTCAATTAAAATTGTACCCCCAGCAGTCTACTGTGGTTTCTGTAGTAGCTAGCCAAAGTCAGAGATGCCCTACTTGCCAAATATGATGGCTGTTTTTCAGCCTTTAATTTACACAGCCTTTCTGTACCATATGACACTGTTAGCCTCACCTTCTTCAGTTTTCACTTGGCTTCAGTAATAGTTCTCCTTCCTGATTCTCCAGTGACACATGGATCATTCCTGTCAGCCACATAAACACTGTGTTCCCCAGGATTCTGCCTTCTTAATCTATAAGATCTCTGTGGGCTAAACACTTAGGTTTAATTCCATTTATATGCTTCTGATTTCCAAATAGAGAACTCTAGCCTTGACTTCTCCCAGCTCAGATACATTCATTTATTCATTCAATAAATATTGAAGGAATAAGTACTGTGTGCCAGGCAGTGGGAGAGTGCAGACAAGGTCTCTATCTTATCTACCTATAAGTATGCCAGAAATAAACAAGCAAATAAAATAATTACAGATCATGTAGATACTGCATGGAGATAGCATACAAATGCATCTAATTTCACTTCCTTCCAAAGCCTCACTGAAAGAATGTTATTTTAAGGACATAAAGCGCGCGCACGCACACACACACAAACCAGAGAGTGAAAGAAGTGATAGTAAGTGATTTCTGAAGTCTAGAAAGCATATCAACAAGTGAAAATGACTTGATGGACTCAAGAAAGTCAAAGGGAAAGCCAAGAACATTCTTAAAAGGCTCAGGAATTGACAGCCCAAGGCTGAAATAAGGAAGACTGGTTAAAGGCTGATTGAGAAGATGTTGGATCCCCAAAACCTTCTTCCTCTGTGCCACTGGGTGACTGCCCCTCTCCCACCATGACAATATCAATAGATTTGTTCCCTGGAAGGGTTTCTGGACTTGAGGTGGGGGAGGGGGTGTCTCCAGACAGGGGAAAAGGCAGAGGTATCGTAACTGCAGACAGGGGTATTAAGTGAATGATACATGCTAATGCTGATATTTAGCCCCTAGCCTTAATTCCTCCAGGAATTCAAATAGGCTTTTACTCTCAAGAGAGTGGAAGAGCTCTCTGAAGAAAATACCAGCCTGAGAGGAAAGAGCTGAAGCTACAGACTTAGCAAAGGGGAGTCCCCAAATCATAGCCCAGTCAGATCTTTCCGTAATTGAGCTCACCATCAGCAAACATCTCCCAAATATACAGAGATCCCAATCACCTTTTTTAGCCTCCTACTCAAAAACATGAATTAACAATTTAAGATTAAAAGAAGTCTGAGAACATAGCTATGGGCTTAATTGTGTCCCCTCAATGTGTATGTTGAAGCCCTGACTGTACTGGAGATAGAGCCTTTGGGAGGTAATTAAGGTTACATGATGTTACAAGGGTGGGGCCCAAATCCAACAGGATTAGTGTCCTTGTGAAAACAGACACCAAAGAGCGCATTCTCATCAATCAAGCACACAGAAAGAAGTGGTCATCTGAGCACATAGGGAGAAAGTGGCCATCTGAGAATTCTCACCAGAAACTAAATCAGTCAGCACCTCGATCTTGGACTTCCCAGCCTCTAAAACATGAGAAATGAATTGCTGTTGTTTAAGCCACCCAGTCTAAGGTATTTTGTTATGGCAGTCCAAGCTGACTAATACAAATTTCATCAACAAAACAAAAAGGAAAACAGCAATATGGAGGAAACTGAGACTATGTAGGGAGAAAAAATATCTTAAAAAACTATTATTAGAGAAATGAAAACATACATCCACACAACTTGTACAGGCATACCTTGCAGATATTGTGGGTTCTGTTCCAACCACCCAAAAAAGCAATTATCACAATAAAGCGAGTCAGAAATGCTAACCATCATTTGAGACTTCAGCAAGTTACAGTAGTATTATCAAAGATCACTGATTACAGATCATCATAACAAATATAATAATAATGGCAAAGTTTGAAGTATTGTGAAAATTACCAAAATGTGACAGACATGAAGTGAGCAAATGCTGTTGGAAAAATGGCGCTGACAGACTTGCTTGATGCAGGGTTGCCACAAACCTTTGATTTGTAAAAAATGCAGTATCTGTGAAGTGCAATAAAGTAAAATGCAATAAAATGAGGTATGGCTGTTTGAATATTCATAGTAACATCATTCATAATAACCCCAAAGTGGAAACAACCCAAATACCCATCAATAAAAGAATGCATGGATAAAATGTGGTAGAAGCATGTAAAGGAATATTATTCAATACTAAAAAGGAATGAAATACTGACGCATGATATAACATGGATGAACGTTTAAAACATCATGCTAAGTGAAAGAGGCCAGTCACATAAGACCACATTTTGCATGATTCAATTTACATGAAATGTAGAGAATAGGCAAATCTACAGAGACAGAAAGTAGATTAGTGGCTGCCAAGATTGTGGGGTAGGGGGGAGGATGGAGGAGATGTGAGAGGATTGGGGAGTGGCAACTAGAGGTTATAGGATTTCTTTTTGGGGTGATGAAAATGTTCTAAAATTGATCATAGTGATGATTGCACAACTCTGTAAATATACTAAAATCACTGAATCATACAGTTTAAATGGGTGAATTTATGGTATGTAAATTATATCTCAATAATGACATTACCAAAAAAATATAAAACTTAACAAGTAAAAAAATATTTAAAACTTTTGCTTTACAATCATACCATGTACTTAGGTAAAAGTTAAAATAATTGTGCTATGTTTTTCTGACATGGAAAGATGTCTAAGCCATACTGTTAAGTGAAAAAAGCAAGCCAAAGAACTGTATGAAAAACGTTAAAACATCTGCACGAAACAAAACCCCAAAACAGAATTCTCTTTCTACACGCACACATGCAAATGCATAGAAAGTTTCAGAAAAGATAGCTATGCAAAAAAATGATAAATAGTGATGTAGACATTTTTATAAAAATGTATAAATAGTGCAGAATAAAAATAAAGGCAGGTAGAAACTCCAGGAAAAACAACAAGCAATAAGAAGGAAAATATAACCCTAATGATCACTGCTTTGGCAGTAATCAAAATTTACAGTCACAGAAGAAAAAAAAATTCAACAGTAAAAAGAAATCCAACTAGAATTAGGCAAAAGACATAAAGAGATATTTTACCAAAGAGGGTACATGGAGGGCAAATAAGCACATGAAAAGATGGAAGATGTTCAACCTCAGTATCCATTAGGGAAATGCCAATTAATAACTAAGATCATGATGAAATGTCACTATACACCTATTAAAATAACTAAAATAAAAAATGCTGACAATACCAAATGTTGCCCAGAACGTGCAAACACTGGATCTCTCATACATGGGTGTGGGAGATGTAAAATGGTACAGCCATTCTGGAAAATGGTTTCGTTTCTTAAGAGACTAAATGTGCTTACCATAACTCAGCAACTGCACTCCTGGGATTCTATTTCAGAGAAATGAAAAGTCATGTCCACACGAAGAACTGTACCCCTAAGTTTATTATCTTTATTTTTAATGGCCCCAAACAGAAAACAACCAAAATATCCTACAATACTGAATGGTTAAACAAACTGCTATACATTCATACCACAGAATACTAACAGCAATAAAAAGTAATGAACTATTCCTACAGGCAACAATCTGGATGCATCTCAAAAACATTATCCTGAGTGAAAAAAGCCCATCTCGAAGGTCACCTATTATATTATTCCATTTATGTAACATTTTCAAAATGAGAAAATTATAGAAATAGAGAACACATTAGTGGTTGCCAGGGGTTAGCATGGTGAGGGGAAGGAAAGTGGAAAGGGAAGCATGAGGGAGATATTTTTGGTGTCAGAATAGTTCTGTTATCTTGATTGTAAATAGACAGGCAAATCTTGATTATATTAAATCTACATGTGATAAAATAGTTGAAACTATACATTGTACAAAATGTCAGTTTTCTGGTTTTGATATTGTACATAAAATATAATCATTGGGGAAACTGGGTGAA